TTATTTGAGATAAAGTATATGCTTCTACAGACCTGGGAGTAGATCAAAATATTTAATTGCTATGGCTATTCTGCCACGTGTCTTTTTCAATAACACTGAGCAGTGCTAAGGTGGCTGGAATCTAAGAACAGGCAGGATGGATGAAATATATTACCCCATGTCGTTATGGCAATGGATGGATTTTCTTTGTCACAGGCAAAATGCACTTTCTGCGTGGGCAGGGACAGTGGCAGATTTTTTTAATTAGTATTTGAATCTATTATTTATGAGTGCATTCCCCGATGTCTAAATCCAAGGGCAAGCCCTGCTGTGCTTCACTCATTCTCTCAGGAGAGGGCTTGAAAGGATCTGCAAGCGGAGAGAGATGAGACTTTCTGCTTGACCGCTCCTGCCTGTCAGGCAAGGACAAGGATTCAGGGGCTAAAGATTTGCCTATTCTAAACGTCCTTGCCCCAAACATCATTTGCTAAGGAGAACTGTGTGTTAGCTCATTGCTCTGGAGTGACTCTAGTTATCCTAAATTTCCAGGTCTTAACAGAAGACCTTGCTATTAAGGCAGGTCCTTTTGATACCACATGCAGCCTAAGGCTGTGAATGTCCGACAAGCTGCTCAACCAGCACATCGCGCTTCGGGCGACAGGCACGTTCAGCCGAGGGCTGTGAAAATCACTCTGGAGTTGTTCACCTTCCTCCAAGACAGACCTGCCAACTCCTGCCTTCGTGGTGCTGATATGGCTTGAAAGCCCATCGATGCAGTCAGCCAGAAGGCAGCTCTCTGCTCACCCAGCTTTCCTCTTACACAGTGAATGAGGAAGCAATTACAGCTGTTTGGACCTTAATTTTTTTATCCTAAATGAGTATGAGAATTGGGCATACATCTAGCATGCCAAATGGTACGTTTTCCGTGGGCAGAATTTTAAATTTACAATGCGGAAAAGGTATTTTGTGTGGTGAGCGTTTAAAAATGTTTTTAAAGAAGTATAGCTAATGCTATGGGGTTTATATTTAGAAAGTCTCTCTGTAATTTATTTGAATTCCTGTTCTCTTGTCCCGTTTTCTACAGCAGAGGGGTAGTTGTGTCTCTGTGCATCTGAGAGATTATTCTGGTGTTTTACCATCACTTAAGAACTGCATGGAAATGGTAACATCTGGCCTTTAGGCACAGAATTCAAAAACATGAAGTCATTCTGTGTGGAACTAACATTTTTAAACAATGAATGTGACTGCTATATAGCAGTGAACTATGGAAATGATATAGTAGTTTTGTACAACCAAAGGAAAGGTCAAAGGGCTTACAAAAATACTTATTACTCTACCCATGCTACCGAATATCTTAATGTTTAAGCGGTACATGTAAACATAAATAAGGGAATGGATTGTTTAACATGAATAAACTAGAATAGTTGATTAGTGACTCATTTTTGGTAGGAAATATAATGCTTTCTTCCCAACCTTAAGAATTAGATGCAGTCTTTTCGATAAAGTTATTTTGTGCAGTCCTCAGGTAGGCAGCGCAGTCTGCACATTACAGTTTGTTATAGACAAGCAGACCAGCACGGGATGTTTTGAAGTAAATGCCTGTTGGCATTCAAGGTCATTTGGACTCTTTCTATTAAAATTTCAGAAATTTCAGAAAAGAATTGCAGTTTTCCATAGGTTTTACATGTTACCTGGTGACCAAATACATTGGCCTTTTTGAAACGACTTCTGAAAAACACACAAGGAGCTTCACCCATCAGCTGTACTCTTTCTTCAAGGTTTGCAGCCAGACTCAATGCCTTTTTTCGACCTGTAAAGGCCAATTTTTTTATCAGTTTATGAATGATGATTCAAGGTAGTTTGAGATAATTGTTTTGTTGTTGGGAAGGGTGACTTGAAGACGCATAGACCTGTTTCCTTCATGTTAATTAATCTCAGGGTTTTGTTTATAAAAAAGAGAAGCTATCAGAAAAAAAAGGTGTTTACATAAGCTTGTCTGAGCACTTCTTCCAAGTTACAGAAGAGGTTATAATTATTCTATCAATAATCAATGGAAGTGTAACTCCTGGATTTCACATAATCATTATATATGTGATTTTGACTCCTGGGTTAATAACCAGTGTTTTGCTGTTCACATTCTTTTTATTATGTTGAATGATAAACTACACCTATGATCATAAAATAAATTCACGTTTCTCAAAACCAGTTATTGATTCTGTTGTCCTGTAGGCAATAAAGACTGCTGAAGAGAAATACGAAAGGAAGAGAAGTAAGCAATTATGGAGATAAAAAAGAGCTCTTCAGAGAAGTAACATTTGTAAGTCACAGAGGCTGTCGTTCCATATCCAAATAGCTGATTTCCAATAGTTCTTTCCTTAGGGTAAACTACTCTATTTAGAATCACTCTTGCTGATAAATTGTCTTACAATTCTTAATTCAGGAAATAGGGTTTGTTCTTTTCTAGTGACTGTTGTTCTGATCAGCTTTAGTGACCCTGAAATTAAAGGGCTCAGAGACTGTTTACACTTGTATTCAGCTATGGGGCACTAAATTACCCTGCACAGGTCTTCAAACTCAGCTCAGAGTTTTCAGTTGCACATAACACATAGTATTCAAGCTGAGTCCATCCAGATACCAGGATCTAGCTTTATTCATGGACTGGTTTTTATATCAAGTACTTCTAAATGTCAAAGCTTCTTAGCTAAATGTAAGAATACTTGCAATTATTCCTGTCCAAGAAGGTCAACTGGATCTACAATGTTAGGTCCTTTTGGTAACTAAAAGTGCATTTTTTGTTGTTTGGTTTTTGTTTTTTTTTTTATTTTTTCATTCTTGCTCGAAAGGTTCAATTACTTTTTCAGTACCAGTGGAGATATGATGGTATGAAGATAAAGATGAAACATTTCATATGATGAACTGCTGGACTACAAACAGGAATCAAACGATCACATCGGAATCTGGCTTCTCCTGGCATTACTTTTCAGTACCAGTGGAGGTACCAGGACAGAAGATAAAGATGAAATGTTTCATATGATGAACTGCTGGACTACAAACAGGAATCAAACGATCACATCGGAATCTGGCTTCTCCTGGCCCATACTTGGAAGGGTTTGCATTGTAGCAATCCAGAGGCAAATTTGCCTCATGCTGATTAGGCATCTCTCGTGCCTTCTGTCCTTCACTTCAGTCTCTTACATCCTTGTAGTAGTTCACTCTTGTTACCTAAATCCAGAACAACTCACAACAATTGGTGCTAATATTTAATTTACACCACTATCAAGACTGTTGGTCAAGAATCTGTGCATAGAAAAATATAGTTATTGCTGTCTTCAGAATATTTAATGATTATGGTCATAAGCAATTGGAAATGACTAGTGGGTAGATATTTTAAGAGCTTCTGTCCCCTAGGTTTTTATTAAACCAGAATAGAACTTGCAGTACTCAAGCAAGTTTGAACTAATCAGATCTGAACAAGCTTTCAGAAAGGTTGTTAAAAATAAATACTTTTTATTAACAAAATGTAAAACAAATAGTATTCAATTCTGTCATCTTTGTTCACTGATTGCCTTTTGCAGTCCTGAAAACAGTGATATTCTTAATTAAATACAGTGCTCCCTAGTCTCATAAAGGTTGTCCATTTGCTAAGTTCAAGTACTTATTTAGAAAGGATATAGATTTTTTAAAATATCGCATGTTTGATGTCAGTAATGTTTTACAGATAGATAAAATTGTCACACCATTGAACTAAAGCTTTAACAATTAAATGAAATTTAAAGAATACTTCAAAAGCCTTTGATGATTTTATTAACAAATATGTTTTATTTAACATGCTATGGCATAACATTAAACTCAAAATTAATAAAGTAAAATATATGCTTATATATATAAGATAAAAAAAATAGTATTTTTAAAGTACAAAAAAACCCTCAACAAGTTGTTATATTCTCTGTGCTTTCATTAATATTCTTTCAAACATGGTTCTTATTCACTGTATTTCAGCTGTAAAGCTTCTGCTTTCACCTCCGGCTCACTTAAGAATCTATTATTAATTCCTTTAAAACATGCAAAAAGTATGACTTCCAAGAAGAACAGACACATAGCCATAAAGCTGCAGAATTCACTGCAAGAATACTGAATAAATAAAACATCAGTTAACATCAGCTGATTACATTTTAAGGCTAGATCCTTGGCTGGTAGAAATGGGCAGACACCGAATACAGCGGAACCCAGATGCACCAGTTGACTGCCGGCTCCCAGGTTCCAAGTCATGGCAAGTCGCTTTGCCTCTCCATAAAGCAGCATATTGTATATCTCAGTAATATTTGATTATAAGTCTTACACATCTCTAGGAAAGTTACATTTTCAAGGGTAATATGTTGATTTTGAGTCCACCCCAATATATACATTTGAAAATAAGTTTCTCTGAACAGTTAAAGGAAACCTTGGATCAAATTCTCGCATTACATGAAAAAAAAATCACAAAAGTGCATATACATATGTATGCATACATGCAGAAGGAAGCCACATTGCCACTTGCAGTGCAGCCAGCTGCAATTATATACTGTTTGCTGCTGTAGATACAGGCCTGTGTCGGGTCACAGAATACATATATATGAATGCAAACTTTACCCCTTGGTTCAAGAGACTTCCCCTAAGTCTTCCTGTTAGGAAAAGGAATAAGGCCAGGGACTGTCTGGAAGTGGAATTTTATTTCAGGCACCTGTATGTGGACCTGGATCTGCCCCACTGAAACTGCAGAATCGAAGCTTTATTGCAAAAAGAACAGATTATTTTACACCAAACTGCTAACTGAGTTAGGATATCAACTTTATGGACTTTTGTAGAGCAGATATTAAATGATTTTTTCCATTTCCCACCCAGTAAATCTGGTAGAAACAATATCATATTTCCCATTAGCTTCTGTAATTTTGAAGTGGCCAAGCTTAGAATGGCAACTGAGCACACTGAAAGGCATCAGCACTGGGAGTAAAAAGCTCACTTCCAGCTCCCAGAAATAGCTCTCAATGACATTTCTTCAGCAGATGAAGAGTTATATTTTTAACTGCAAGCATGGTCTCCGTGCAGGTTGGTTTGATCAGCGTCTCGGGAAGTAAAAATCCAAAATGGCCGGTGTCACGCAGCTCAAATGCAAATGCATAGGGGATGCCATTTTTGTAGGCCCAGTCCATAGAGCTACCAGAACTCACATCTGAAAGAGGGAATCCAGAGAAAATTTTAAAAAAGGTTAAATGTAGGTCATGTTGAAAGCACCAGAGGGTTCTTGTGGCATTTTGTCTCCAGGGCTCAGTGAATACACTTGCAACGCCAGCTTGTTTCTTGCCCCGATCCTGAACACCCTTCAGAGAAGGGCATGGGTAGCCAGCACTTGGTGAAAGGTGCTCAGCACAATATGGGTTAGACCCTTGATTTTCACAGGAAAAAAAATCGACAATGGACTTCTTTGTGTAAAGCAAAACTTTAATAAAAGAGAACATTTAGAATAAAGCCCCAAATTGTTTTTGTCCCCAGGCGAGTGCAGTATAAAGCTTTGCTTCTGCAAAGATCTCCCAGCTCGACTGGAGCTCTGCACACTCCTAAGGTTTCACTTGGGTTTTTTAGGCAATTCCTTTGCAGGGGGAAGGGACAAAGTTTATAAAATAGTCTACATTCTCCTTTTCAAAGTGCTTTTGAAATGCTTTTCATTTCTGTCCTGTTTTCTCACCATTTCCTTACAGCATGAGAGCACTTGCATAGGTGGTGTCTAATATTAACAGACCTTCCCAAGGAAGTGTGCTTCTTATGCTTTCGTTATCTCCATATGTTGATTACCCAAGACACTTATGTTTATACAAAGATCCATCTCTCATGTGGCCTGCTGTCTTCTGTGCAATTCTGGCATGAATTCACACTGCTCTTCCTCTGACATAGCGACTCACTGCACTGTAATGAGCATGAGATGCTGACCGTGCTGTCAGTGGAGGCCCACAATAAAGTGAAGCTCTAGCTGAAACACAGCAACAGCAGAGGAGATGCAGGAGATTACTTGTGAAAAATCTTGTTATTTACTTAAGCTTCGCACCTCTTCAAAGTCTTTTATCATTACCGAGAGCATCCAGGCCTCATAGTTTCAGTAAAAAAAAAAAGTGTCTCATTGAAACCTATCGAACTTCTTTTTCTCTTACCTGTCTATATGGAGAGCTTGCCTGACAAATGTTGTTACATATTTAAAAGGTATACTTTAAAGATCTTTTGTTATAGGGAAAAATGCATTTGAAACCACTCTCTGAAAAATGAAAGATGTCCAAATAAAGATACTGTTGTAAAGATACATTTATCATCATCTAGACACAGAGACATTTGAAACCTAGCTTTTAAAGACATCACCCTAAATTTTAGAATGAGCTCTATGAATAGCTGTATCTATCACAATTGCACAGAAGGGGATGCAAAGTAATGGTGAAAAATGAAACCTACTTTGAATTATTTCCTCCCAAATACTTTATAACTTAGCAGTGCATTTACAGTATCTGATAAAGATATGCTTTTTAAGATCTTATTTTATCTTTTTTTTCCCCCATTTTATTTTTATATGTTCTGAACATGTTATTTGCTGGCTTTCTTCTCTCAAATGCGTTGCATTTTAATCTCTTCTATTGCATCAGTTGAGTTAATCTTACCGAAATCAGCTGACTGAATCAGTTACAAAACTTCATCTTCCGCCTTCCTCACCATCCACAACTGGAACAAAGTTCACTTGAAACAGTGTTTGCTTTCTTTGTTATAATAAGGGTAATCTCCTCCTTACTATAGGTAGGTCAAAGTCACAAACCTGTGCCAGAGGAAAACTTACACAAAGTGCTAGAGGCAGGACCGTATCTGTATCGTATACCATAGGCTGACTGAAGAGCGTTAACAGCATTATAGGCTGCTGATTCCTATGTGGGGGAGAAAAACAAATACATAAATTAGACTTTGAATTAAAGACTGTAATGGGATTGGAACCTGGGCTATGGATTCTTGACTTCCAGCGCAATGCTCTGTTCTGTGAGTCCATGGCAGCTAATTTAAAATTATTTTAAGGGATAAATGCATTATTTATTTTTATTGACAGAAATTCCCTAATTCCCTGAAAAACTTGGTTAGACATTTTCATGGCTTAAAGAAGCTCACTGCACTGTGAATGCTCAGCCATTAAGTATTTGTAATTATAGGTATATATACCAATTCAGGGACACAACAAATTTAGGCAACATATGAGACCATGAGATGAAATAATCTCTTTTTTTATGCAGTTTAAAGCCACACATGCATTTTCTGCCAGTTCCTGTGGATACATTTCCCACTCCACTAAACCTCATCTCTGCTGGGCTTGTGAAGCAGAAATGATCTCTTGGTGACACCCCACAGTGGTTCAGTGAGCAGAGTGGGAAAAAGGAAGGAGGAAAATTCCACTTCTGAATCTCTGATGGTTCTGGCTTAATCCTGGGTCTGAACTCTGCAGGCGTACCTGCTGTGGGTCTTTGTCCACCCGAGTAGAGAAGCCAGAGAAAACTGCTTGAAAATGTCATTCCAGGGGAAAAAAAAGTTAATTTTCCTTTACTGGCCAGGAAGTAGGACTTTGGAGAGTTTGTTTTACACTGAGAACTGCTCTTAGCAAATGGCAGAGAACTTTTTTACTCCATTATAAAAATCCATTAGGCATGACTAGATTTTTTGTTTGTTTGTTTTTTTCTCAGCACAGGGATGATAGTGCCGGAGACTCCGACATTTTCAGCTTGCCCTTTCTCTTCCTCTTGCCACCTCCACAAGAGAGTGACTGAAGTCAACGCTGCTGGGAGCTTCTGCCCTGTCAGGATGTGGTCGCCAGCCGGTGTGAGGGGTAACTTCTGGCTCGCCCTAACACCAAAGTTGAGGAGGTGGAAGGAGGTCCGAGGAAGTGGGAAGTGCTGTCACTTGGGACTCTTCCTCCTCTTACAGATGCCTCAGCTTCTGACATGTCAGAGTCATGACACACAAGACCCATGATGGGGTCGGGGCTGTTGGACACCGTGAGGGTGGTGCAGTTGCAGTGTGAGGCCATGGTGGCGGCAGGGAGGCCTTGCAGGGCTCTGGGGAGTGGGGAGCTCCAGCTGAAGCTGGGGCTGTCGTCTGGTGCCTGCACTGAAGCCCCGACCACCAGGCTCAGTTTCTCACCAGAAATTCGGCAAGCAGCTGCGCTTACCATCCCCGGGCCATGGTGTGGAGCTGGAATGGCCTGACAACAGGCCTGACACCAAGGGAGTGGGAGGCAGGTCCCAGCTGAGGGAGCTGAGGCGGGTGGAGAGCAATGCCATGGTAAACGCCTCATGGAAAGGAGAAATAGCCACAAAGGAGAGGACCCCCTCTGCATTGTACAGCAATGAGACAACAGAAGCAAGCCCTGTTGAAATCTTTCTGAAGAAATAGTTTGGCAATGCCTATTTAAAACCAGCACAACAGCACTGGGTTCTGTGCAGAGGCAGCAGCCTTCTGGAGGCGAGACCGGGAGTGATCCAAGTCCATGTCCACCATGTAGGCAGGCATCCCTGGGCTCTGTGAACTCGATGCTCTTTGCCTCGAGGGGTGCTACTTGCTTCCACTGTTGGTGTTATGTGCCCAAAGAAGGGGACAATTCTCAACTGCATCATGCTGTGCAGGTTAGATCCTGAATAAATTCGAGCAACCAGTTTTGAACACCCTCAAGGAGAAAATTTCACATAAAATTACCAGATTTTTACAAAGACCTACACAAACTCAGTCACGCTATATTAAGTTCACTGCAAACACTAAGGCAAACAACTGTACAGGAAGAAAAGGGATGAAAAGTACGTGAAATTTAAAACTCTCGAGGTGGATGAATGTTTCTGCTGTTTTTTTCAATCTAAAAGTATACTTCCATTTTAAGTATCTTAAAAGAACAAATTTTAGGAGAGTGTTAATAAGGGAGTTGTGCCTAAATTAGAACAGAACATGCATGTTGTGATCAGTACACAGCTCTCGGGTTTCAAAGCAACTCTGAATAATTGAACACTTTAATCAAAATGGTGACTGACAGCTCAGTAGAAGGATACGACCCAGACAGAAACATCCTTTCTTCTGTTCAGGATTAATTGTGGCCCCCTGTTAGCACCAAATGTTATTTATCTGCTATGCATGTGGAGTCCTACAGTTGAACTGTACACAGTCCATGTAGACCAACAGAAATTGTTCCATCAGCAGCAGGAAACAGGGATCTGCAACTCGCCAGCTCACTCTAATTTCCAAGAGAACCGGAGAATCTGAAACCTCAGCCTAAGTCACCATTTTAGACACTTGAAATATTAAAGACTATTCATTTAGGATCCATCAGGTGGTGGAGTCTTTGGCTGTAGGCAAATATTAAAACACATAAAAAAATAAGCAACAGTTTTCCATTCATTTTCACTACGATCCCCATAACGAGCTTTCTAAATAACAGGAAATTACTTCAGTTTCTTATTCCAATCTCCCTGTTCTTTTTGACTCACTGCAATGAAAAGGAATATAGAGTCCAAATACTGGCAAAATATTTAGAATTGGGATTTGGCTTCCATTTGTCCAGGACTGTTGTCTAGAACAGTGTCTGTTTTTGTCCCTTTAGGTCTGTGCTCCGCTCCCTCTGATGAGAAGCCTGATCCAAGGTCTCTCAAACCTGGGGAACACCTACTCCACATCAAAAACTGGGTTCCTTTGGTCTAAAAGCTGTGGATGGAAAGATAGAGTATGTGTACTCAGAGGCACTTACTCTCAGTCTCAGAATGGAAATAGCCCTTGAGCAACAAGAACAACATGTACTGAAGATCTACTGGTACGTGTGAAAACTCTCAGAGACTCTTTTTCATTACAATGAATTTGGTTGACAGCCGGCTGAACATGAGCCGGCAGTGTGCCCAGGTGGCCAAGAAGGCCAACAGCGTCCTGGCCTGTATCAGGAATAGTGTGGCCAGCAGGAGGAGGGAAGTGATTGTGCCCCTGTACTCGGCACTGGTGAGGCCGCACCTTGAATCCTGTGTTCAGTTTTGGGCCCCTCACTACAAGAAGGATGTTGAGGTGCTGGAGCGTGTCCAGAGAAGGGCAACGAAGCTGGTGAGGGGTCTGGAGCACAAGTCTTATGAAGAGCGGCTGAGGGCACTAGGATTGTTTAGCCTGGAGAAGAGGAGGCTGAGGGGAGACCTTATCGCTCTCTACAACTACCTGAAAGGAGGTTGCAGCAAGGTGGCTGTCAGTCTCTTCTCCCTACTCTTCTCAAGTAACAAGTGATACGGCAAGAGGAAACAGCCTCAAGTTGCACCAGGGGAGGTTTAGACTGGATATTAGGCTGCTCAGGGAAGTGGCTGAGTCACTATCCCTGGAGGTATTTAAAAGACATGTAGAAGTGGTGCTTAGGGACATGGTTTAGTGGTAGACTTGGCACTGCTAGGTTAACAGTTGGACTTGATGATCTTAAAGGTCTTTCCCAACCTGAATGACTCTATGAGACTATGATTCTAATTTCCTGACACAGTGTCTGCTATTGCCTTATGTTACTCTGGATATTTTCATCAGATACCCAATAATCATCTACTTGCAGAGGAGATGCTGATTCTTCGTCATAGCAGGTCTTTAACTTCTGCTGTGTTGTATGTTTCTTAAAAAACAATTATTGCACCTGCTGGTCTTCAAAGGAATGAGATACTGTGGTTTAAGTTCCTAGTCTATGTTTTTTGGTAAGTAACTGTCACCAATTCACTTGGGGAGTTCCTTTCTCTTTGCCACTCCCCAGAAGAGGGTGGAGAATGTAGAGTAAAAAGAAGGCTCATGGATTCATTCACAGTCAGTGCAAGGTTCGGTGGCAAGTCCCCACAAGTCTCATATTTTTAGCTCCTCTGGCTGCTTAGTTAACTTCTAATTTGCTCCTTTCCCAAGAATGACATCAGGCAGGGGAATTTTTAGTAGCTGCTGAAATTATGTGTCTTAACAGAAATAAACCCACACAGACAGAGTTCAGTTTGTGGAGTGCTGGCTGCTCAGCCTCCCAAGAGGGCAGCTGAGTGAAACTTCAGCCAAGGTCCAGGGACTAACAACATAATTTATTCGGCACAGGATAAATCTAAGATGCAGTTAAGTTCCCTTTGGAGTAAACTAGCTTGAACTAGTAAGTTAAAGGTCACTGCAACTTTCAAAGTGAAAATAGGAGATGTATGGACAATGTAATTTTACTGGGGACTGAGGGCAAAAGAAAGAGGCTTGCTACTAGTAGGTTGGTGTAATGTATGTCTGTGAGCAGGACAAAACAGAAAGTGAGGCTTGAGCCACATTTCCCTAAGAGAATAAGCTATAGAGAGGATTTTATGTACAGGAGGCTGGCTAAAAACAGACCTCAAACTGTGAGCAGAGGGACTAGATCTCCTGCATTTGAATGAGCATGGAATACATAAAATGTACATATTTGTAAATCAACAGGCTTGCACCAAAAATCTACTCTTACTAATTTATTCTTCTAATAGACAAAAACTCTAAAGCACCTGATGTTAATTAGCTGCTTGTCTTTAAGGGGCAAAACCACTATGTCTGAGCAGGATGATACATAAAGCAATAGAAGATTCACTTTTGGTGACATTGATGAGATTTCTCCTCTAATTGATAATTATAAACTATTTTGATTTTATTTTGTTCATAAAATGGAAGATGTTCTTCTTTGTGCTTCTGGTGTTTAAGTTCTGAGCATGAAGGGACAGAATTTCAGCTAGATGTCCAAGGATTTAACTACATAATTCCCATTACAGTTAATTAAATAAAATGCTAATAACTGTAATTAAAACCCAGGGATTTAGCCTATAAAGTAATTTAAAGGGACTGATGGATGGAAGGCACTATACCATTTTAATCAAATTACTGCTGACTCAATTTGAGTGAAGGTTATATAACCAGAAATGAGATTGCAAGTGGATCCAGAATAAACACTGCTCAATATTAAATATGTGCAAAGTATTGAAGAAACAAGCCTCCTCTCAAAACAAAATATACCAAAAATTATTATATAGGGAAGCATATTCTCCCAAGTTTTAATGTACTTACCACACAGCTGAAGTTTGGAATAGTTGCATATTTGTAAGAGTAAGGGTACAGCAGCATCTGTGCGTATGCATGGAAGGACAAATAGGCTTTTATTTGTTTCCGATGTTTGCGGAGAAAATGAGCAACAGCCTTTACTTCAGGCTCTGACTCAGGAAAGGGACCACAGTAGGTGTCATCGCATGGGTGAAATGAAGCACCTTCATCTAGAGATTGAAAGAGAAAGCTGATGGTAAATGATCACAGAGCATTTCTAAGGGTCAACTTCTGGCTCAGCCTGTGTAGGCCTGTGCGCAAAGGTGTGAAAAGCCATTAAAAAATTTCTTTCTTGTGACTAAAAGGCATGAGCCAGTGGGACCTCAGTACAGCAATCTGCTCGATCATCTAGTAGACACACCGAGTTGCCAGTTGGCCAACTACATACAGTTCTCCCCAGAGGACATATTTTTAACCCAAAGGAGAGCCTGAGTTCATTGTATTTTCTTCCCTGGCTTTCCATATGAGTGGCACATTTTATGATAATATTCCAGTATTAAAACTGTTGAAGGGTCTCAGTTGATCTATTCAAAATCAGAGTACTATACCTCTTTCTCTAGTCACTGCCAAGACAAATCTAGCCTTTAAGAGCATTTTAACCTACTAGCTACTACAGTGATGGTTACAATGGTAGGTAGATTACCTCAGCGGGCATTATCTCAGATATTGGTTTAAAACATGAGAATTGTCCCTGACTACTGCCTATTTTTACTCTTGCAAACCTTATGGGAAAAAAATTACATGGGTTGATGGCTCAGTTAGCTAAAATAGAAATAATCTCAGTTTGCACAGGGCTTATTTTTCCTTCAAGTTTGGGTCAGGGGTTCAGTTGTGAGGTTACCTTTCACCACGTCAAGCTGCTTAGGTGGCAGTAAGCTGCAGAAGTGTAGTCTGCATGTGATATCCCATGAAGTACTGAAAGATGAAACTCAGAAAAGGAGATCTGGCAGCGGCTCCTTTATCATTTAGCAATTCTGGATCTAAGCCACTGTCTCATTTACGGTTTAGGGCCTGGGCCTAAAAGAGCAATATTTATGCAAATCCACTCCGCTCTTTTATCCACTGTGATTTCAAAATGCTGCATGTTTTACACTGACCCACAGAATAATAATAGTTTGTTTGCAATATTCTCTGGTGTCATCAGGGACTTACAAAAGCAGTGTTTTATTAGCTTTCATTTGTGTAGTAAGTACTGCCATCCTCAAATAACAGGAACGGCGTGTGAGAGGGCATAATAATACGAGCTAAACCAGGATTACGCAATCAACCTAATGCCACTAAAATTAAAAAGTAAAAGAATTTCATGCTGCAGCTTCATTTGTAATATGAAAATTGAGGCTACCATTTAGTGGCCACAGGTGGGGATTTCAAGAGGTATTAGTGCTTAGATTGCAGTGGATATGGATGGGTTATATAGAGGGCAGATGGTCTCCTCCCTGCAGAACAGATGGCCACCAAGTCATCCAAATCCCAAGAGCACTTTGCCTCGATGTCTTGTCAGTTAACATAGCTAAAGGAGAACTATTTAGCAGAGCTTCCGGAGCCTTTGCTTTTTTTAATGGATACTTCATCTCCTGTAACAGTGTTGTATACTGAATAATGAAAATGGACATCATATTGCTGTTAATAAACAGCAGAATCCTACAAGCTAACAGTAAAATGACCCAATGGTAAACTATGACTCAGTTTAGTGACTTTTAGTGAAGAAAAGACTCTCTAAACTGCCCAGCCTATGGTAGTGAGCCACTTGCAATCCCAGCTGTAGTTAACGCTTCTCCTTAAGTGAAGCTACCTGGTAGTAAAAAGAGAGGGTTTCATGGTGGCCTTGGATAATGTAAGGATATCCTCAGTTTTCATACTGGATGTTCCTTTTTCCTTCCACAAGAAGGAAAAAAAGATACAGTAAGTATCCATTCCTCTGAAATTTCTGAGTTACAGTCATGAGAAGAAAATGGAAATGCATAAAATGTCACCATGCTGCCTTATATTTGTACCTAATAGCATACCAGGGGAGGACAAGTATCCTCCAACATCCATCATGAGATCAAATGTACAAAGGAAATGTGTGCAGAGACTGATAAAACTAATGCTTTGGTACAGAAGGAAGACAGGGAGGATGGATGAGCTGGAGCATGATTCTCAAACTTCCTTGCAGCCACTTCTTTTGTCAGTATGGGGTACTGTTCTCAATGAGCAATGGGGTGCATTGGGAATTGGGATGCACTGGAAATTTTAATTCCCACTGCTCCTGTCCTGTGGGCTTCGGAGCCAACCTCTTTAACTACATTTGCCCTATGACATAATTTAGTTCTAAGTACCTCCTTATTAGCTTTAAAGTTGCTATTTATTTAATAAACGTTAAACTATTATGCTAGATATTGCACATAAATATATATAGCAAGGGGCATTTCTACCAAGAGATCTTGCAGTCAGTATTCACCCGGGTCTATGTGCAATTTCTGTGCACTGTGTTAGGCACAGGGCGCTGCAAAGCAAAATCTGCCACAATCAGTGATATGGCCCTTTTCTTGGTCTCTAGAGAATACAGGAGTAACATCATAAAGCTTACATCAAAGTCCTACACTAGAAGGGAAGAGGAAAGCAGAAGGGATGCTGTGTTATCTTTCCCAACTAGCTCACTGCAGCAAACATACCTGCATGGAAGCCCCGCAGTGAAGTTCAAGCCTTGCCTGCAAACTGTAAGTGCGACTGAACTGAATGAAAAGGTTTTTATAAGCATATGCAGTATTAAATGTTAAACACACCATGATCATACAAGCCTCAAAGTGTGATATGGTCCAGATTCTTCTCTGCCTCATTTAGTGTCAGATTAATGAGAATGTGGGGTGCCAGATGAGGATCTTCTGAGCACTGGTCAGCCCAGTTCATGAAAGAGCTCTTTATTCTCTGGCAAAATAGAGAACCAGATGGAGTTTGGGGTCCGGTGTGGGAAGCAGAGCATGTGCTTGATGGGGTGATGAGCAACCTTCAATTAATTTTTATTTGTGAAACTTGGGGTGGGGACCTGTCTTTCATGTTTAGTGCAGGGGAGAAATGCAACAAGTAGTGGATTACAACACACAATGCATGTGTGTATTGTTACAGTTTCACTCAGCCTAGAAAAAATGTTTTTTACTGAAAACTAAGGAAACATTTTCAGGACTGAGTAAAAAAGTGTGCTTTAATACAGTGGCTGGGGAGCAAGAAGAGGGAGGAGCAGAGCGTTTTGAACCCAAGAAATATTCATTAGGACTAGAAAGAAAATGCACTGTGTTAGTATTAATGTTGCGCTCATAAGTAACCATAATATGGCTCTGAAGACTTGGTAAGAGAACTGTTCATTCCAGCTATGCCAGTGGCTATTTTCTGAACAGCAGATTTATGTCCCCAGAACACCTGCAGTTGTGAATTACACACTTAGGTAAAAGATGGTAACAGTGATGCAGGACTTTGGTTCATTTTTACATTATTTTTGCTGCATAAAATTGCCTTAAAGATCATGATAGCAGCCCTGGGACTACCTTCTGTAGTGGAGGGATTCTCAGCTAACACAAGCTTCTGTGTCAGTCCTCTCCTTACTGTGAGCAGAGCAGAAAAAACCTGGAAGCATATTTCACAAGTCCATACTATATTGCATATATGCTTCTGTTTACTCTCACCTCATTTGTAATTGCCCTAGGCAGACTATTTACACTCACTTTTAGCCTTACAATTTTCAAAAATCTACTTAAAGAATCCATTTGCTGCAAGCCAGACTGTACAATGCTTACTCCTACTGCAAGCAACCAGAGTATTGTGGAAACATCTAGAGACTTCCAGTGGAAGAGGGACGGGCTGAAGGGGGGGCTGTTGCGTTAGCACTATGCAAACACAATTTCTGTCTGTCAAGTTCATAATGTAGATAAGGAAGGTGGATGAATGCTGGAGGAGAAAACAGCTGCACAAAGAGGTGAAGGAAGTTGCTCAAGATGGGAGAGCAGGTCAGCAGAAGAGTCAGGTATATATTGCAGTATTTCACAACAAAGTGCTGTTACTTTCTGCTGCACCAGAACTTGTGTGGCTGCTTACTCCGGTGTGAGTTGCACTGTCTTGCTGCAAGACTTAATAAAATACCATTTCTTCCTCAGTGGACCCATTCCAAATATTCTGCTAGTATTTCATTACTGCTGTATTCTCTATGCGAAATTGAAGTCAATTTTTATGAAAGTATTTACAGAAGTGCTGGGAGTTTAAAACTGGACCTCCATGCATTTAGAAGCACCTTCTTTCTTTATTAAATCAGTAATAATAATGGCCTTAAAATATTCTCAGACATTTTTCTGTGAGGCCAAAAAAGCAAGTCTGACATTTCCAAAGCTAAAGCCATTTCAGAGAAATGACGAATTAAATAAAATGAAGTTTGAAATGTTTGCTAAAGCTGTAGTCAGGTAAATTTTGAAATGTGATGGGCCAGGCTCAATATTGTGCTTCAAATTATTTACATGATTGCAGAAATACAGAATAGCTGTATATATGTTTTTTTACTTTTGCCACACTCACCATGAAAACTTTTTACTTGTAATGAGTTGTGTTTTTCCAAAGTTCAGGACTTTTAGTTTTTAGAAGCTAGAAAGAAGATTTGAGCCCTGGCTTGTGGCTTTATAGAAAAACTACCTTCAACTTTGGAAGACAGAACTTCACAATGGCTGTGACCTGACGTACTTACTCTGTTGGATAATTAAATACAGGGTAATGTGACCTGGTGGACCAAAGTATCTCCAGACTTACCACACCATTTCACTTTCCAGTTGCGATTAGCATCAACACCATGACACCGAAACCTTGTGTTCTTTGATCTTGTTTTTCTCCAAAATCGATCCTAACATAAGTTATAAAATAGTTACATAGCAATATTACTATATTTTGGCAAAAATCTATTTGTACACATAACAAACCAACCCCGGTAAACATATTCAGTATTATATTTTAACTGGAGTAATTTACTTCCATTTTGCATGCCATAAAGTGATGGACCAGATTATACAGAAAGTCACCTTTAAACGATGTACCAGCCATTCAATCTTTCCTGTCTGAACAATTTTTTGAGTAATACTACTGATACTACTTACATTTGTCCAGCTAAAATGATATCCATCCACATTAAATACAGGCATGATATAAAAATACAGCTGTGTTAGCATCTTTCTCATGGCAGGATCGGTCTGGTATGTCTGAAGAGCCTAAAGCAGAAAAGCCAAAGAAAGTAGTTTCCATAATAAAAATAATTTCCCGATTAAGTATTGTGACAGTCTAAGACAGGGCTTTGGCACCACTGACACCCTTAAAGCTGTACTTGAAAGGCTGACATCTGCATGCAAATGTGATTAAAGGCAGCATGTGAGCATGTGAAAAAAGTGTTCAAAAGATCCTCTTCTCTCTGCTTCTCGGTTACTTTCAATTTTTGTCAAGAAAATACAACTCACATTACAGAGAAGCAAATGCATACAAAGTGTTGCTCGATGTAGGAGCTGAAAGTCAGTGGAGTAGATTCTTAGTTGAGGAAATGAGTTTAGCTCCTGTAAGACAATGGAGTGCTGTTGTTTCCACCAGGTGATGATTTGGTGAGGTCAGAGCATGTCCTGAAGCGTTTATCACATTACATAAGCTTTTGTTGTATCTGAAGTAATATGCTACATGTGCAATCATCAATACAGGCAGCTTATTCCTTTATAATTTAGAAAACCCTCTACTTTTGGAGAACCTGAAGTATAAAGGTTAGTAGAGGATATCTAGGTAGGAAATTTTTTTCCATTCTACGTCTTAGAAAAATGCAGCAAACCAGGGCTCCTCTGTTTGTACCAGAGATGCTCCTTTACTAGTTTCAGGAAGCTTGGACTCCACAGCAAAAACTGTCGCTTGTCATAGCTGGACATCAAACTTGCATCCTCCAAAATTTAAGTCTTGATTCTGTAAGGCGCGGAATCAAGTGGCAGGCAGAAAGCATATCATGCTGGCGCTGGGTTCGGAGGGATGCCTGAGGCTGGCTCCTCTCCTCCTGAGGCCGTGATGACAGCCTTCTGCTCTGCAGTGTTTTTGGCCCTCCAGATCCAAGAAGTAACGTGTGTTTTGGGGGACAAAGGGATACATTTGCTCTGGAATAAACTAAGCTAAAAGCTTTTTAGTTAACAAATGCCAGGGAACAGTGTGAAGTAAAGGAATCCGATACTTCCCGGCTGCTAACCTTGCGGCTCTTTGGATTATTGAGGCTGCCATGGGAGCTAACGGATGCTCTTTGTGGAATACGTGTAAGAAATACCCATAAAATTGGACATATCTAGGGATGAAATTTACTTATGGAGGAGTTTGTTTTTATCTTTTTTTTCCTTTATTGAGGGCTTGGTGAGACTTCTAAATGCTTTTTCTAAGCTGTTCATCAACCACCTCTCTGTCATGCAGTGCTTTCTCCTCGCCCAGCTTCAGCTTCCTTCCCAGCAGTGCTCTGCACATGCAGGTCCTTCAGCCTCACTTGGAGATCCAAAGCAGCACGTCATCCCTGTGCAAAGCCACTGAGTCATCCCAGTGCTACTCCACATCGAGCTCCTCTGCTGTTTCAGCCGGGCAAGAGGAGAGGAAAGTGAGTGATATAGGGCGAAGAGGGCGCAGCACAGAGTGAAGTGAGGCATGAAGAACCACAGGGTGGGACGAGATGCTGAAAAAGGGTAGGGTTATCACAGGGGAGAAGAGGATGACAGTGGGCTTTTGAGGGGAAGCTTTGTGGAGCTGCTGGGAAAAAGTCCCTGGCCAATGCAGAGGTCTTTTTAAATTAAATGGAACTATATAGAATGGTACTATTCTTTGCTGGAATGGTATTGCATTTAAATTTGATGCGCTTGTATTAGGAAGCCACATCAAGGCTAGAAATATGTTTGGATAAAAATATTGGTATTCAGGGAACTGCAACTATAGTAAAAAGTAATTTTGTCAAAACAGAACACAATGGTTACTCAAAAATAATGACTGTGAAAACAAAGGCTCTGTTTTACTGATGTTCCACATGCAGAAAACTCAAACTGAAGTAACTAGGGCCGCTCTGTGCATTAGGCTAGCCCTGTACTTAAATCTTCCCAGGATTAAGAGCCTATATGGTAAGTATGGATGTTAAATCTATAAGACTGTTCTTACAGTGGAAACACAGTGGAAACAGAACCAAGTCATGCTCCAAAATGTTGGTCAAGGAAAATGAACATTTTTATCATGCTTAGTTCAGAGAGAAGTAATTTGGCTGAGGAGGAGATAAGGCACCACACACCACTTCTTTGACTTTTTAATGCTTTTTTCTTTTTAGACAGTACTAACAAATTAAGCTCAGGTTGTGTCTCCATGGTGGGTATTTACATATTAGTGATAATCAGATTGCCATATTTGCGTGTATCTATATTTGCATATGCCATTCTTTTGCTGTCAATTATATCTGTAATTATGCATTTTGTTACACCATAGTGTCATGTACTATACTTTAAATTGCAATGCTGTAAGATTAAACTCTTTAAAACACTTTTAAAATAATCTCCTTAAAATAACTACAGATAATTAATCAATTTAAGGTAATACACTTCTTAAAAACTGCATGGATGAGCTTTCCAAATTTTTCAGAGCCCTTCCTAATTTGCAAAAAGTGATATAAGGAAAATATTTGAATTAATACTTTTTAACGCTCAGTATGTTTTAAATCCGGTGAAGAATATATTTTTCTTGATAGGTTTAATTCAGCACCACCATTTAAAAACTGAAACAAAACACAGACTGCAAAACGTCAAGCACCCTTTCATTTTTTAAAGCTACTCTGTTATTTTAATACCTGCTGTCTTTGACAAAATGCTTTGAATGCCTTTGGAAAGCATTATAGATCCCAGTAATGCTCTTCAAAATTTTAAGTTTTAAAGTTTATTTAGAGCTAAATATCTCAATCAGTCCTATAATGACAGCCTGAGAAAGTTGGGGTGGTTCAGCTTGGAGAAGAGAAGACTGGGGAGACCTTATTGCAGCCTTCCAGTACTGAAAGGGGGCTTATAAGAAAGATGGGGACAGACTTTTTATCAGGACCTGTTGCAATAGGAAAAGGAGTAATGGTTTAAAACTAAAAGAGAGCAGATTTAGACTAGATAGATGGAAGAAATTTTTGTACAATGTCAGTGGTGAAACCCTGGCATAGGTTGCTCCGAGAGGTGGTAGATGCCCCATCCCTGGCAACATTCAAGGTCAGGCTGGACAGGTCTCTGAGCAACCTGATCTAGTTGAAGATGTCCCTGCTCATTGCAGGGGCGTTGGACAAGATGACTGTTAAAGGTCCCTTCCAACCCAAACTATTCTATGATTCATTTCTGTTCTTTAAAGCATATATGGTTTATCTTAATAATTTTGTTAGCCTTTTATAGTACCATTTAATTTAAAATGTAATGGACCTGGTAAGGCTTTCTTCTTCATGGAAAGCAAGATTGTAGATGGTGTAAGCTGGTGTGAGATCATATTAATTTTTTCTGCTAAAAATATTTTGTCCTTCATCCTGTTTTTATCTTTTGATAATATGTAATCAGACAACACAGACTGTGTACTGTTACCTCCCTTAACAGGGAAGTCTTTGGCAATGCGCCTTACAATTACTAAGGTGTGTCCTTGCTGGAGCAAAGCCCACAACTTGCTTTTTGTGACGTGACTCTCAAATCCTCCGAACAATGATCATGCGAACCAACCCCGCCCTGCAGCAGTGTTGAAACATTTTCTCTTCACTATGGCACGAGCAAGACCAATATAAACCATTAGTGAATTAACTGCATTGTAGTTTGCACAGAGCTCTCAGAATACAAGGTAATGCGACTTTATACGGCTTGATTCTGCTTCCCCATCATGCAATCAATAGAAGCTTTGCTGCTGAATGTGCAGAGAGCCAGACTGGCCCAATAAATGCTGAACAGTGTTATTAGTGAATGAACAGATGATACAGGAACCCTGCCAACAGCGTGCAAGCAATCTGCCTGGGGGATAGGGGAAAGGACCGATGATTAATAGGAGGGGGCTCGATCATCTGGATCAGCAGAGTGGTGGTTGTTGATAGAGCTACGCCAGCTTAGGCTGGCTGAGGACCTGGTCTATAGGAAATTTAATTTGGGGGATGAAGTGAACAAAAGAGCTATATTGTCAACTGCCAAAGCAATAAAAGGCAAGAATTTAAAATGGATTTAGGATGCAGTTGGGCTTTTTATAAAATAAGGGGATTGACTGAGAAGGACAAAGCAAGGAGACAGGGTTGAGACAAACTCCGAAACTGCAGTTGAGCTTAATAACAATTTGCTGTCCCACAGTTAATTATTATTAAAATTACGGTAACAAAATCAGCTTTTGCTGTTTCTGGTTGTGAATTGAACAATCACACTGAATTAAACAGTTAGTATTTTAGCACAGGGAATTGACTCCATTGCTATTCCACCAGAAATCACATAAAATTGCTTTCAACAAAACAGGATTAACTCTTCCATGCCATTATTAAGGTATCAGTTGAAACATCCTTTCTGATGGTAACATACAATGTTTTACTATTGTCTGTACATCTTACACTTTAGCAGGGTGACACTATGATCTGCCATTCAGGCCTTCATTGCCACTTTATCATTTTGGCAAGTCAGTAGTTAGCTCTGTCTCTGTACTTAGAAGCAGTACATCTTTTTATCTCCATTTTCCCTTTTACTGCTAGTGTCCTGCTTTGGCACTCATTATTAATGGTAAGATACAACTGAGTATCTGAAAACAAATGTCTTGGTCAAATTTTCAAGGCTGAAGCTTGAACTATATTTTTTTTTTCTCCCTACCGGGCAGAATCTTCCTTCCTCTTTGGGAGCATGTCCCACAGGAGGAAGCCATAAGCAACAACTGAGAAAGATGAGTGTGCTGCAACTACCCTGCAACACTCAGAAGAGAGCCCATAAGAAGTCTGAAAAGAAGGACCTGCAGGCTCCCAAAGGCTTGCTTATGCTGCTACTTAAGGATGCAATGGATAAGACGCTGAAGCAGAGAAGAGGCAGAGGGACGATGGCATGATTGACATGTTAGAGATGCAAACAGCAGTATCAGGAAGCTTGCGCATGGCTGGGACCATCCAAGCAAATACAGGATCTTGTGGGGAAGAAGTTGGATAGAGTTACACAGATCTTAGTGGAAATAGGAGACACAACTTGGTTCCACTTAG